CGAAAGGGCTGCCTGGCCGCTACAAGCTGATCGGCCAGGCGTTGTTCGGCACCGTGGCGATGCTCTACCTGTTTTGGGCGACGCCGTACTCGACCGAACTCACGTTCCCGTTTGTTAAGCCGGCCTTGTTCGCACCGGACATCGGCTGGCTCTACATCCCGTTTGCTTTGCTGGTCCTTGTGGCCACGAGCAATGCGCTGAACCTGACCGACGGCCTCGATGGTCTCGCGATCGTCCCGACCGTGATCAGCGGCAGTGTGTTTGGCATTTTAGCCTACGCGAGCGGCGCCACGTTGTCGGGTCTCAATATTGCGGACTACTTGCGGATTCCTCATACGCCCGGCGCAGCTGAGCTTGCGATCTTGTGTGGCGCGTTGTGCGGCTCCGGTCTTGGCTTCCTTTGGTACAACGCGCACCCGGCCGAGATGTTTATGGGTGACGTGGGCTCGCTGTCGCTGGGGGGCGCCTTAGGCGCGCTCGCCATCGTGACCAAAAACGAAATCGTCAGCGCTGTGATTCACGGCGTCTTCGTCGCCGAAGCGATGTCCGTCATCTTGCAGGTTGGTTCCTACAAGCTTCGCAAAAAACGCATCTTCAGGATGGCGCCGCTGCACCATCACTTTGAACTCGCAGGATGGCCCGAACCGAAAGTCATTGTCCGGTTTTGGATTGTGTCCGTCCTCTTAGCCCTCGCCGGATTGGCGACGCTGAAGCTGCGATGAGGACCACCGCTGTGTCGACCCGCTCTCAACCCTTTGCGCCTGCGATGCGTGCCCGAGCTCGGGCGTACGCGCTGAAGGACCGCTTCGTTCGGGGCGAGGTCGAACACGCCGCGGTTGTCGGCGTCGGCCTCAGCGGGTTGGCCGCTCGCGATCTTCTCGAATCGCGCGGCGCCGCGGTGACCTTCTTCGATGACAAACCCCGCGACCAGCTTTCGCCCGCGATTCAGCAGCAGCTGGGCAAAAACGCACTGAGGCCCCTGACTGCCGAAGGCCTCGAGGCATCCGAACTGGTGGTTTTGTCGCCAGGCGTACCGCGTGTCCTCGAAGAGCTCGCGCCGGCGGTGACCGAAGGCCGCTTGGTTGGTGAAGTCGAGCTTGCATCGTGGCTCATCCGTTTACCGATGATCGGCATCACCGGCAGCAACGGCAAGTCGACTGTCACATCGCTGGTCGCCCACATGCTGCAGGAGGGCGGGCTGAAGGCTTTCGCCGGCGGCAATCTGGGTGAGCCCCTCAGTCGTTTAGCCCTGAACCCCGAAGGATACGACGTCGCGGTTGTGGAGCTGTCGTCGTACCAGCTTGAGTCGATCGTCGATGCGCAATTCGATGTGGCGTGCTGGCTCAACCTGATGCCCGACCACCTGGAGCGTTACGAATCGGTTGATGCCTATGCCGCAGCGAAACGCAGGTTGCTCGAACGACGTCGGATTGGCGGCGTCGCCGTTCTCAACGCCAAAGACAGTGTCTGCGCCGACGCAGGCATTCGGCTCGGCGGCGCGACACGGTGGTTTTCGCGATTGCCCAAATCCGACCTTGCCGGTCCGCGAGGCGCGTGCGGTCAGGAGGACGGCTCGATTATCCGTACGGTGAAAGACGAGACCGAAGTCTACCGTCCAACATCTGCCGCGCTCATTGGTCTACACGGGCTTGAAAACGCCGCCGCTGCCATTGAGTGTGCGCGGCATCTGGATGTGTCGCCGGAGGCCGTGCAACGTGGTTTGCAGAGCTTCCAAGGCCTGGCGCATCGACTGGAATGCGTGAGCGAAGCCGGCGGTGTGACCTGGTACAACGATTCCAAAGCGACGAACCCCGCGGCCGTGCGCACTGCGCTCGACGCCATGAGTGGCCCCGTGGTCTTGATTTTGGGTGGCAAAGATAAGGGCGCGCCTTGGGATGACGTTCTGGCCGCGGAGGTTGAGTTGCGCAAAGTCCTGTTAGTCGGCGCGGCGGCCGACCTGCTGGCCCCGATGTTCCTCGACGCCGAACGGGTGGGGACGATCGACGCCGCCGTTGTTCGTGCAGCCGAGCTTGCTGAGGCCGGTGATGCAGTGCTGCTTTCACCCGGATGCGCGTCCTACGATCAGTTCAACAACTTCGAAGAGCGCGGCGACGCGTTTAAGAAGGCGGTTTTAGCCCTAAGCGAGTCGGAGGAGTCCACGTGAGACGAGACGACGAAGTCCTCGAGCCAACGACACTCCCTGTGCCGGCTCATATCAAACCCGGCGATATCGCGCGGGCGGTGGACCCATACATTGCGGTGGCCGCCGTGTTTTTGCTCGGTCTGGGGACTGTGTTGGTCTACCGCGCCAGCGCGGTGCGCGCCCACGCCGGCGGCGGGGATCCGCAAGCCTACTTGTTTCGGCACTTGGGTGTGGTCGCCTTAGGCCTCGTTGTGGTCGCGGTTGTACTCCGCGTTCGGCTCGAAACCTGGAGCAAGTTCGCTTACCCCTTGCTCGCGCTGTCGGTGTTGCTCCTTATCGCGGTGTACATTCCGGGTTTAGGCAAGCGCGTGAACGGTGCGTTGCGCTGGCTCTCGGTGGCCGGGATTCGTTTTCAACCGGGCGAACTCGCGAAGCTCGCGATCGTTGTCTATTTGGCGCATTCACTCGCGAAAAAGCGCGAGCGGGTCTCGAGTTTTTCGGTCGGTTTTGTGCCGCACGTCGTCGTGACCAGCGCCGTTGTTTTGCTGGTTCTGTTGCAGCCGGACATCGGCACCAGCGCGGTCATTTACGCCGTCTTGGGGTTGATGCTCTTCGTGGCGGGCACGCGGATTTCGTACCTGATTTTGGCGGTGGTGGGCGCACTGCCGGTCGCCATGCACTACGTCATGACCCGGCCGCACGCGTGGGCTCGACTTCGGGTGTTTCTCGAACCGGAAGCCCACCGACGGAGTATTGGTTATCAGGTCTACGAATCCCTGGTGTCCTTCGGCTCCGGCGGCCCGTTCGGATTGGGGCTGGGCGCCGGCAAACAAAAACTCTTCTTTTTGCCCGAAGCCCACACGGACTTTGTGTTCGCGGTGTTGGGGCAGGAGCTTGGGTTCATCGGTGTGGCCGCAACGGTGCTGGCATTTGCTGTGATCGCGGGCCGCGGATTGTGGGTCGCAAGTCGGCTTTCGGTCCGCTTTCCCTGCTTTATCGCCTACGGCGTGTCGGCTTGGCTCGGCGTGCAGGCCATCGTGAACATGGCGGTGGTGACGGCGCTTTTGCCGACCAAGGGCCTCACGCTTCCGTTCGTTTCGTACGGCCGCTCATCCTTGCTGATCACGATGGTTGCATTAGGCCTGTTGTTGCGCGCGTCGGCTGAACAACGCATTGCCGAAGGTCCACGAGGTGCCGCGTGAAGATCATGATCGCGGGCGGCGGCACCGGGGGCCATCTATATCCAGGCGTGGCTTTGGCGGAGGAGATCACCACCCGCCATCCTGACAACGAGGTTTTGTTTGTCGGAACCCGCCGTGGCCTGGAAGCGCGCGTGATTCCCGAACTCGGATTTCCGCTGGAACTCATTCAGGTCAGCGGCCTCAAGGGCACGGGCCTCGGCAAGCGGATGCAAGGGTTCATGCAATTGCCCGGGGCTTTGTGGCAGTCGATGCAACTCGTTCGGCGTTTTCGCCCGGATGTTGCGGTCGGCGTCGGCGGATACGCCTCGGGGCCGGCCATTTTAGCCGCGCGTTTATGCGGGGTGCCGACCGCCGTGTTGGAGCAAAACACCGTACCGGGCGTGACCAACCGAATTTTGGGACGAATGGTCGATGCCGTCTACGTGATGTTCGACGGCAGCGCCGACTACTTTCCGCAAGGCAAAGTGCAGCGGCTCGGTAATCCGATTCGCCGCCAGCTTCTTGAGAACTTCTTAAGGCCACCCGAAGCCGTTGAAGAAGGGGCGCCGTTTCGCGTTTTGGTTTTGGGCGGCTCCCAGGGGGCTCATGCCTTGAACCTCCGAATGGTCGAAGCGGCCGCGACCTTGAGTCAGGCGCAGCCCACATTGCACGTTGTCCATCAAACCGGTCGTAAAGACCGTGAACTTGTCGAAAAGGGCTACGCCCATGCTGGTCTTTCGGCCGAAGTCCACGAGTTCATCGACGATGTATCCGCCGCCTACCGGCAAGCTGATTTGGTCGTGTGCCGAGCCGGGGCGACGACTCTCGCCGAAGTCATGGTGGCCAAAAAGCCCGCCATTTTGGTGCCGTACCCTCACGCCGCCGACAATCACCAGGAGCTCAACGCGCAGGTGTATTTTGTCGGGCAATGGGCGAATGTAGGCATGATAAGGTCCATACTGTCGCCAGTAGGACGGCAATGGCAGCAGCAACGGTGGCGGCGAGTATGTTGTCCGGCAATGGGCGAATGTAG